CTTCTTGAGATTCTCTGTGGCAGCAACTCCTCCAAGGCTCTAGCCAATGGATTCATCATAAGTGCATATTTTGTGAAAGGGTTGATAACCTTTTGAACATAAAAACAACAACAACAACAAGCATATAAAATAACCAGAAAAGGCATATGTGTCTAAGCTAATAAAGAAAGCAATGTAGTTATGTAGGAGCCAAACACATGCCGTTGTCCACACAGCAATCTTTGCAGGAACAGAATCAGGCGACATATTCAGAGTGATCTGAGACAGCGTGCTCTGACCGTACAATAGATATCCCATTACTGCCACACTCCCATATAGTGCAACACACAAAATAAAGCTGCATAACAAGATACTCCAGCATTATTTTTATAAAGCCCGAAAACCAAAACAACATATATGAATTGGCGTACGAGCCTCAAGTTTAGAAGTTAAAACTCAGGCCATAGGGTGAAGAAGACCATCGCTTAAACCAGATTATATATGAACCGGTGTGGATTACATCAGTTATACTGGATTCCGTACCATATGATCATTGCCTTAGTGAATTGTTTTTTGTTGGCCATTGATTGGTAGATATTGGGGAAGACAGAGTGTCCAGAATAACAAAATCCGTACACACCAATAGCAAACGGGATGCCACTCCAATTCACCAATTGACCTGTTTGGGGCATTTCAATTCCATCCACAGCACTGAGTAATGCTACAGAAACTACAATGGCTATAGTTGCAACAACACCACAAGCTGCAGCATGAAGAAATTAATATATTATCACGTTATATTGCCGAGAACTACACTTTCAGGGTCTGTTTGTATTCCAGATAATACCAGGGAATGACTATAGTACTATACAAACGAGAACATAGATGAGAATTTGATTATGTCGATTATTATAAGAATATATATGCAGCTTTGTTTAAAATGATCATATCTCATTTCCCTTTACACTTTACATGGTACATAATTAAACATAAGTACACGTATTTCCATGGCAAATTTCCCCAGAATTTTCCATGACCCAAACCGGCCAAACATAATCTTAACGATGCAAAAAAGGGAAATTGATAGGTGCACCTGAAAGATATGATATTAACCGAACATCCCTCAAAAAGAGGGTTGGTAGAACTATCAGAGCAGTTAGAAGTCCAAATAAATGTGTAGAATCAAGATTTAGACCATTCCAGTTGAAGGAAGCTCCGGGAAATAAAGTTGTGAGATTATCTCCCTCCAGTATGATAAACTCTACACAGTATGTCTAAAATAGTACAAAATAATACCTGTAAGACATAAAATTCATGCTGAGAAGCGCTAAACTGAAGGCCATATTCACTTACATATAATTCCGTAAACAAAAGCATCTGTACACAAAGCAAATGTAGCATAACGTCAGCTGATATAAAAAACCAAACTAGTTTTATTGAATGGTATCACTGTTCAAGATAAATGAACCGAAGAAGTAAGTCATATTAATCTAAACTGAACCAATAGTTTTTCGGGTTCGCAGTTTAGGGACTCTATTAAGCTTAATTACACATCCAAATATTTTAAAGAAATACATCAGTTTATAAGGCATTGAGCAATACTACCTAACCAATTGGATGCAGGTTCTTAGTGTGGTTTCATTCCATGTGCATTCAAATCTAGTTGAATGATCTCAATGCAATTATATTAGATTCAAAACTTACAGATGTGATAATGCGCCCATATCTTCCGAAAGCAGCTTCACCCATGTCAGGATAAGTTGCCATGCCGTCTTTGCTCTCAAAACAATGCTTCATAAGAGACGCTGTATAGCAACAAGTAACAGCAAAAAATACCAAAACCGCAATGCTTGCCCAGCCAGCTACTTTTACAGTGAAAGGAGTAGAAAGAAGGCCAATTCCAGCCATGACATTGAGCCCTGAATCAGAAAGTATTAGAGACTGATATGAGAATGCAGATTCATATATTTACTTTTGAAAGATATTACCGTCTTCTCTTTACTGACTTACCATTTATTACCGTTTGTGTGAAGCTACATCCATGGCTAAGAGGAAGCTCCCCCGCGAGTTTTTCATGAAAAGCAGCGTTTTCGTAGTATGATGACTGTTTTGATGAGATTCGTTCCCCAAAACTGTTCTGGTTGGGTTTTGTAGCTCCAGAGAGAAAATGTGTCTTTTCATCAGAGTTAATAATCCTTTTATTTGTATCATAAGGTAAAACTGCGGAGCTTGATCCACGCCTCAAAAGGCCTATGTTTGGTGATGCAGCAATCGAGTATGAGTCAATTGTTTCCCTATCAATCATAAAATGTTAAGGGAATGAGACACGAGCTAACAGCATCGACTTTGAACCATGGACAAGAAGTTTGGTTAATCCTAAGCATGGTCCTGGATATGAATGCATAAATATCATGAATCTGAAAGCTCTGTTGAGATATGATCTCACAATTATTCCACTTGAGAAGGTGTATTACATTAATCATGAAATCTGTCTGCTTTGTGGAGTTTCAACGGTACTGAGTTGTTTGTTTAAACTTTTCAAACTCACATATCACTCTTCCATTAACAATTCAAGTCTTAATATGCTTATACGTATTCAATGTGAGATTAATCTCTTAACACAAGTCAGCAAATTTTCAAATTTTGACATTCAAAACGGACCGTAGAAAGAACAAAAATGACTGCACATAAATAGGTTTCCGTACAATTATTTGAGCAGGTAACATTGTAAAACGCCAACACACAATAAGAAAAGTAAACAAGTGAAAGCTAAACAGAGATAACGGCGCAGCCGCGGGTGCGCATAAGAAGAACAAAAACCTGAAACTCTGCGGCCATTGCTGGGAGAAGAATGGAGAAGAAGACGAAGAGGAAGGCAACTTTTGAGCGCCGCAATCATCCCCACCTTTATCATCATCATCATCATCACCACCGCTTGTGTTTGGATTATCCTCGACATCACCTTCATCGTCATTCTCCAAGAAGTATTCCACCAAGTCATTAGCATTTTTGGCCATGGCTACTACTGTCACCGGACAAATTGCCTCAACTTTGGTGTGAAATCATTCGTAGAACGGTGCCTGTGTGTATACGGCTATAAGATGACACGTACGTACAAATTGGGCCAGCTGGGAGTCCACTTTTCGATGACAGGACGTGGTACTTTTTGTTTGAACATAAACGACCCGTAGACGCCTGGACTTTCGTCCGGGAATATAAGTACGAAGTACTCCTATATTATTGTAACTAATAAGGAATATTCTATGTAATGGACTAACCCCAAGTGTCCTACGCCACAGCCCGTCGATAAATTCGTATTTCAACACGCATTTTATGCGTGTTTAACTTGGTTTTTGTCACTCTTCCTAATCAAAATGAGTTACAAAGTTTTTAATTAGCTCAGGTCACAGTTTACTGGATTTTGATTTGCATTTGCTATTGCTATTTTTAGAATCAAAAGTCAAGAATTAGAACTTGGCATTAGCGTTGGAGATTAATTTTGAAAGATTTGGAAAGCATTCGAGAGTTGAGAAGAAGCATCGAAGATCCACGGGGCGATTAATGAGCCATTTTAGATTCAAAGGAAGTCAAAGAATGAGTGTGGGATCGATCGGGATCGAACGAGAAAGAAAATAGTAAGAAAACGGTCCAAAAGAGGTCCGCACGCCATACCGTGCGGGGCCGCACACCTCGCGCTCCAGAAATTGTTTACAGGAAGGTCCCAACGAAACGGTCTCATATAGATACAAATATAGATAAGAAGAAATAACGTTAGAATTAATTTTTTGTCTATATTGACTGAAGCGATGTAGATGACTATTTTAGCTATTTTACATACGGAGTATATTTCTTTCTCTGTTTTATTAATAAAATGTAGTTAAAATATAACTTTATTCATAAATCAACACAATCAGTCAATTCAGCCACTTCAGTCAGAACTTCATAAATTTCAGCAAAATCAGCCGATTAAGCCGATTTTAGTATTATAAATGGGCTCTATGTGATTAAACAAGATAAGATTTATTTAAAAGATAGCATTTGCATATTTTTTTATTAAACATTGTATGGTCAAAATAAATTAATATCCTTTCATCCATTTTTTATAATGAAATAATAGCATCATTGGTTTATTTTGAAACACTAATTTTTAGCATGATTTTATTTCGATTAGTTTCTGCCTATACCAGATTAGAGTAGACTTAACAGACTAGATCGGATCAGATGAGATAAAAAAAACATATCAGACCAAACTTTTACAGTTGTAAATGCACATATATAAAACACACATCTACCAAACCAGACTAGAACATTCAATTCGATTTAAAAAAAAAAATAGAGCTCGTTTACAATACAAACTAACATACAGTTTTTATACACTGCATAATATGAAATTGTTACACTTTAAAATATCTTACTATACAATATTAAAAATAATAAATTCTAAAACAAAAATTGTTTATAAAAGTACTATCCTAATTAATGAATAAATGAAAATTCTTTAAATAGAATTAAAACATAGGAAAAATGCACAACCCTTGACCGTCATTGTTTTCTTCCTAGAGTTGGTTTCAATTGGTCTATTTGGAGGAAGTTCATACTTTTAAAGAGATCAAACAAGTCCTATTTTTAAAATATAACATAAATAGTCCAATTTATACACTTTGTTATGTTTTAGTCAGAGCAATTTCTTCTGGAAAAAATTGTCTACTCGACCAAAAATTCTAGGTTCGTCTCTAGATTCATTCACTCCTAATTTGGTAATGAATCTAGGTTCGTCTCTAGATTCATTCATGTTTTTCTTTTATTTTGAAAAGTTCTCAGCTCACAAATAAATGCAAAGCAAAGGGAATGTGGAACATATGTAAGTGTGACAGAAAGCATTGAATGTGGTAAAAGAAAAGTTTGGAATCACATGCAATGCAAACATACTCATCTCTACTTCCAAGTCTCCTTCCCAAAACTCATGTTTGCCTCTCCTCATGCTTAGTATATATCTAGCTACCTAAACTTTTTAATATTTCCCCAACAAACCTATTTTTATACACCTCAGCCATGGGACAAGCCCTTAAAACACTAGGTTTCTCTCTACATTTATGGATAGATGTATTTCATGTCTATATATGTCCGATCCTCATCTGGTCTTTAATCTTTTTTTTTGTTTGACAGGAAATGATGATACAAAGGGTAGAGAAATTGGGCCAATAATCAGTGAATGCTATGACAAATACTTTGTGGACACCGTAAATTGGAACATTGCTGATTTCTGTCACGCCATCTGCCAAATCGTCGAGTAACGAATTCAACACTAACTACTGCGGAGTATATATTAGGAGTGGGCACGGTTCGGGTCGGTCCGGATAATTAATAAATTTTCAAGAACCTCGGTCCCATTTAACGGGTAGGTTCGGTCCGGGTATACCAAGTTCTGAAATAGGAACCGAACCTTACCCGTCCCGTTTGAAATGAGCCGGTTCTGTCCGAGTCCTCGGTTCTTCTTTTGTAAAAAATACGGCTATGCAAGCAAAGTTTCTAGTAAGTTATAAAATTCTCAAATTAATCACCTATTAGGCTATTAATGTAACCAAGATATAATAAAAATTCAAAATAAAAGTATAAGACAACATTTTAAATTAGTTAAAAAATATCGAACCACAAATCTATAAATTAAACAACACACAACCACCTTAATCAAAATGTTAATCATCATTCATAAACTAATTAAAAAGATAGCACCATATCCAAGTATAAGTAAATATTAAATGAATATGTCACACTTGATTAAGAGTCTTTGCTTAGAAAAAATATTAAAGAAAGAAAATTTGATGCATTTGGAATAGAGAATAGAGGAAACTAATTTAGGAGCTTAATTATATGGACTTGGAAACTATTTTTAGTAGAGTGAGAAGTTTCTTTAATTGAAAGTTTTTGTCTAGAGACAAGAACCTGAAAAGCTTCCGTGTCTTGTTAGTAAATTATATTATACTAATATTAAATATAATAGTATTATTATATTAAATATTATAAAACAATTCGATTCAGGTACCCATTTTTTCAAATATTAGGATCCGTTCGGTTCCTAAGTTTTTCGGGACCCGCTCCGTCCCGAACCGTTTGTGTTTTCTAAAATTAGGACCTGATCCTAACCCGCCTTGAACCTGTATTACCCGGCCCGACCCGCGGTTCCAGTACCCGTTTGCTCCCTAGTAGATATTACTCTTATTTTTATAATATTGGGTAGGGGGTCTATCTTAAACAAGGTCCCTCCGGATCGATTGACAAATCTATAGGTTCATAAATGGTTTGAATAGACCATAAAGACCATAAGTCTTATATATGGTTCTATCTTAACACATTAACCAAAACAAAACAAAAAATATTAAACAAAAATTAAAGCATTCATTATTGGACTATCCGCCAATAATGGTCCATGACCATATATTACCTCCCATAAAAGTGCATTTTAAATAGAAATTAAGCGTAAAATTAAAAGCTGAGATTATTTATAGGGATTACTTGTTACATCTCTTCTCATCCACTTTAGAAACTACGAGAATTTATTTATAGGGACCATTATTGGCGGAAGGTTCTTAAAGTTGGGATTATTCTGAAATAATCGATAGTTGGGATTATTATGGGTGGACCATCAATAGTTGGGATTATTACTATCAAATTTTCCTTCATTATTTCATATATTTTCTTACTCCAAGTTATTTCAACAAATATCAATTTACTAATAATCTATGTTGTTCATGGAAACGTGAAAATTGTATGGAAACATTAAAATATATTTTAAAAGAAGAATAATTCTTTGAAGAATTTTTAAAGAATTTTCGTATAATTTTCAAAACAGAAACATGCTCTTTCTCAAACGTTTTTGTACTTTATAGCTAATAATGCATTCAACACGTGTTTTAGATTTTTTTTGGGGGGAATGGAAAAGTTTGAGATGGAGCGACTCACTGATTTTTGGCTTTCTTTTGCTTTGGTAATCTTCAGAGACATAAACTCAAGCATAGGCAGTACACAGATTCGGATGCCCACAACGGAGACCCTTAAGCAAGCATATATGGTACGGAATAATTATATATATATATATATATATATATATATATATATATATATATATATATATATATTGTGTATGTCCAATTGGATACTCTTAAATTTGTGTTAGGTGTGAAATAAGAAAACTGCAAGTTGTGCATGTAGGTAAGAGACACGAGGAAGAGAGAAAACTAAAAATTGTGTGGGTGTATTTATTAATTATTTTATATATTGCGTATATTATTATTATTGTTATTATTATTATAAAAGCAAAGCAGTAAAGTTTTTTCGAACAAAAAAAGAAAAGTTAGAAAACCCCAATTCAGTAACGCTTAAAAACAATGAAACCAAATGAAAAATATATGACTTGTTATGGTTTTAGACAAAAATACTACTCACTGTGTTCGAGTAACTGGACAAGAGGCACTATAGTGTACAAGAGGCACTAATGAGTCATTAGGAACTAATGAATGAATATGTAGGTTTTTTGAACTTTTTTAAATAAGTCATATTTTTGTCTTTTGAATTCAATTTAGTAATATTCACGAAAGAAGGTCAAATAACATTCTTAAATGAAATGTTGAGAGGCTAAAAGTCAACGAAAATAACCTGCACTCTCTGTCTATTAGGGTGTATAACATCTTAATTTTAACAAGACTAATTTTTACTAGTTTTATTCTCACTTTATATTTTTTTAAAATCGTGTATATACTTTATTGTACACATCATCTTGCATACACCTGTGAGCACCTAATTTTTTTATGTTTAAAGCATGTCCACAGAAAAAATCATGTTTTGTCTGTGAACAGGCTATTCAAAGACAAGAAATAATTGCTCACATATTGTGTAAAATAGTGTGTACAAAAAAGTGTATACAAGAAGAAGTTTTATGTTTTTTATCTAACAAGTAATTTTATATTTCAAAAGTGTGTATGGTAAAATGTTGATTTGAAGTTAATGAGAAAATAACCAGATTAATTCAGATACATAAATGTCAAAGCCTATCAAACAACATAATTAACTAAGAATTTTATATGGTATTAAATTTTTGTCAGAAACACCACAAAGAAGAAGGGAAGAAATTGAGCAAAGAAGAGTTTGAGAAGATTCTGCGAGAAATAATAATGGACACAGGCGTGACAGGGATAGGAGCAAAGGACATACTTTTCTACCTATTCGGAGTTCCGGTCACAGCATTGTTGTTCAAGCAGAGACTCCTCCCAAATGCCATCCCCAACGAGGTGTTCATCCCCGCCATCACTTCCGCCACTGTTTTCCTTCTCGCCAAACTCAATAAGATTTAATTTAATTCTATGTAGCAGCAGACATGAGCGGAGGCAAGAGGGGCCGCATATATGTGCGGCTCGGTCCGCTCCAAATTTCAAAACGTCATTATTACTAGTGCAAAAAATTTCGTGCAAAATTATATAACAATTACTTGTATTCGTAGAGAATGGTTTAACATGTATTCTTGTGTACCACAAGAAGGAACACATACACCCAAAACGCACGCTAATGCAAGAAACGTATGTGAAAATCCTCACATGATATGTCATTTTTATTCTAAATGAAAAAATAATACTCGGTTTTAGTGAAGATTCCCAAACAGAAAGTTTCATAAACACACGACGAGTAATGACTAAATATGTACAAAAATGTCATGTGAAGTGAACCAACCCAATATTTATGGGGAATGAGTCATTAGGGTACGGGTTATATCATTTATTTGATGCATCACTCTTTCAACTTTACCTATTCTGGTAGATGTTTAGGGGGGAGGAAAACCGGAAAACAGGATCAAACCCTGTTCTTAAGCAAAATTCTGAAACGAGGAATTGTCAAACTACACTCGCAGCCAAAATCACATTAAAAAGATTTTATTTCCTTCTCAAATAGGGTACGAACAAAAGTTTCCCAAAGACTTGGGAATTGACTGTAGGAGGATACACCAAAGGTAATCGGTAAAGTCATTTAACAAGAAGAGATAATACCGAAAACTCGTGTGTGAATCGAGAGGACATGTCCACAAATAACTATGAATGATATCAAAAGGGGTAATATTATAGGAGTCGAACAAAGAAATAGTAAACGGATATGCTTAATAATTTGACGAGAGTGACAAAGTTTGGAGGTATACTTCTTATCAAATTGAATTAGAGATTAACTATGTAAAGAATCTATGATAGGATGCTCCACACGTGTCAGGTGATCCAAGATGACTATTCCATAGATCTAATGACACAACAAAAAGAGAAATAGGTTGAGGTACGAGCATGGATGACTTATCACAGATGGTAGGAGGGAAGAGCTCCCCGAAACTACTGCATCTCATAACAAGTGTCTTCGAATTCAGACCCTTTACAGAAAAACCAAAAGGATCAAATTCAATACAAACATTATTATATGTTGTAAATTTTTGAATAGATACAAGAATTTTAATAATAGCACGAGTAACAAGGGTATCTTTAAGGAATAACTTTCAATTGGGAATGGCTAAATTTTTGGCTCCATTGGCAATAACTGGAATATAATTACCATTTCCAACTAAGGCAGAACGTGCATTGCTATTATTGGAAACATGAGACAACGTATCTCGATCCGTCGTGAGATGTGAGGTAGCACCCCGTAGGCTGTATCCATATAGAGTGAATCACCATTTGGCGAGTTCAACGTCATCGAACTATAGGCTTCAGTAATATCATTGGGTAGAATTGTTTCCGTAGTGAGAGCAACATAATAATAATTATTATCATCATTAGAGCGTGGCCCAAACGGTCATGGGCTTGAGAACAGACAAAGCTTTAAACTTGTTACAATAATCGTCCACGTCGCTACGGTCTCTAACGTCTCTAACTTAGAGGTTCGATCACGAACTTGCTTTCCAGGATGGCAGTCTGGTTTTCTTTGTTGCCTTTAAATAAGGTTCCGAGGTGGTCCCATAGGTCTTAATTTAAGTAGTCATTTTAGAGTGAAGGATGTTGAACTTAGACAATGAAAATAATAATAGAAATGGGTGCAACTCTTACATTAATTAAAGAGTGAAAAGTGGTATAAATACCCATTACAAAGCTTTAACAAATTGATCAAATAATAACTAAACAAACTCCTATTTTAAGCCATACTTCACGTACAACCATTAACCAAAGCATGAAATAAAACAACTCCTAATAAAATAATGATAACAATTTGAGACTTATTCAAATGTATATTAATGAATAAATAGTAGGTAAATAACATGACTCCCATGTGTGTATGGCACTGCATGTGCTACCTTCTCAAGCATGATTAATATCCAACACCTCTCGTGAATCCAAGATTGATCAATCCTTTCCATGAAGTACATGTGTTTCTTCTAATTTAAGGACTTTGTGAACAAGTCTGCATTATGAGCATCAGTTCAACAAAATTGCAAGGAAATTTCTTCCTTTGCCACCAACTGTCTAATGAGATGATGTTGAACATTTATGTGATTGGTTCTTGCATGGAATGCTAGGTTTTTAACCATAGAAATAGTGGATTTGTTGTCACACCATAACTCTACAACTTCTTCTTGTTAACAACAAAGATCCTTAAAAAAATTCTTTAGCCATAGGGCTTGTTTAGCTGCAACACCTGTAGCTATATATCTACTTCTGTGGAAGATCAGGCCACATATCTTGCTTCTTTGAACTCCAAGTGATAGCTCCGGATCCTAGATCAAATACTGAACCAGAAGTACTCTTCCTATCATCAATGCAACATGCCAAATCACTATTTGTATAGCCTTGTAATGAAAAATGCTTTACATTTCATACAAGACACCATAATCCAATGTGCCAACGAGTTATTTTAAAATTCTTCTTGTTGCTCCAAGACGCTGCTTTGTAGGAGAGTGCATATACCTGGACACAACACTCAAACTATATGCAATATCTGGTCTGGTGTTTATGAGATAATTCAGACCACCTACCACGGTCTGGTGTCTATAAAGCCTTTCATCAGCATATTTTGTTCCATCATTCTTCTGCAGTTTCTCACTTGTATTCATAGGTGTTTTAGCAATTTCACATCCCTTCATATGAAACCTTTTAAGCAGATCAGTAGCAAACTTTCTTTGGCATAAGAAAGTTCCTGCTTTTCCTTGTTTAACTTCTAAACCAAGGAAATACTTCAAAACACCTAAGTTAGTCATCTCTAATTCCTTTTTCATGGAATTCTGAAATTCTTCTAACAACTTATGTGAAGAACTAAAATATATAATATCATCTACATCAAGGCAAACTATTATGTAGGCAGACATACTTTTCTTCTTCACATACAATGTAGGCTCATTTTCACTTATTTTGAACTCATTAATGATAAAGAATGAGTCAATTTTGCTTTACCATGCTCTTGGTTCCTGCTTTAGGCCATAATGAGCCTTTTTCAGTTTGTACACCTTGTCTTCTTCTCACTTCTTCTCAAATCCTTGGGGCTGATCTACAAATATGAGTAAGCTCACCATTCAAAAAGGCTGACTTGACATCCAGTTGATACACAAGCAAGGTCCTTTGTGCAACCACGACCAGTAAAGCTCTCATGTCTCAAACTTTGCTATAGGGGAGAAGGTTTCCTCATAGTCTATGCCTTTCTTTTGTGCATATCCTTTTGCCACGGACCGTGCCTTGAGCTTTGAGATGCTTCTATCTGGGTTGTACTTTATTGTGTCCCATTTTAACCCTATCACATTCTTTTCACTAGGCAGAATAACTAGCTCCCATGTGTCATTCTTCTCAATAGAATTGATCTCTTCTTTCATGGCTTGTTGCCATTCATCATAAGTAACCGTGACGGCACTGAAGTCGTTGTGTGCCTCAAAATAAATTCAATACTAGCATAGTATAGTAAAGTAGAGTTTCATATCCACAGGGAAATGAATACTTTTCTTTTTATGAAATTAATAAATAAAAGGGGGTTTTTGGGATTGAGTGATTTAATTTAATTAAACACCAAGATGAACGACTTGTGTGTGATTTAATTCAAGAGATAAAAGACTTGATTTTGATACTTTCCACTTGTTGATATGTTTGTTGATCCAGGTTATATCTGTTAAGACCCGAGATTCCATCATAAAAGGTCAACCTGAGAGGAGGAGTAGCTCAAAATCTTATATAATGTTTTATTATTTTATAGCTTTCCGGTGTGGGACAAATGATTTGACACGCCCCCTCAGCCCGAACCGGGCTGGACAATATCGGGGTGTATAAACGGGCCGAACAAACCCTTAACAAGCTACCCTTAACCATTGGTGCTAAACAAGTCGTCGAACCACAATCGAAATTGGCTCTGATACCATGTTAAGACCCGGGGTTTGATCCTAAAAGGTCAACCAAATCATATCATCAACAGCAAAAAAAAAAAATAGCATCAGATTGCTGCATATAGCTAGTAGGCAACAAGGGAGGGTACAACATTTCAGCAACCAACAATCAATCTACAAGACACGTCAGCTACTATCACATCAAAGCTACAACCACGAACTCATGCATCCCTGGCCAGTCACTTCTTCCTCCACATGCACCTCCATCTATTTGGATCTTCACTACTCCCACTGCTGATGCCACCAGTCGAAGAGTTCTGCTCTGCATTCTGTCTATTTCTCCTCGAAAGGTGCTCTGCAAGAGTTTTTTTTTGTACCTCGGGTTCCATTCTAGCAAGAATTTATTGCTTCTAGGGATTTGGGGTTTCTTCGTGTACCTCACATGGTGGGCTGGAAGACCCTTCTGGAGAAGGTTCTTTTCAGCAATCTCCTCTGCAATAATATCCTCGGCAGGGGGGAAGGACATCAGCTGGAGGAGCTGTAACTGCCGGCTCCCCTCTCATTCTCACTCTCATTCGAGTGAGAATGAGAGTTGAAATTCTTTCTAGCAGTTGGCCCTTTGTGGGGGGGTCTATGCCCGAGAAGCCTCATTGAAGACGACATGAATTGACAGTAACTGAGATTGATGTATTGGGTGGACGATGAGGGAGAGGGTGGCGAGCGATGAACTGTGAGGGATTTGACGGCTTGTTTAGCACCCATGATTCATATAGCTTGTTAAGGGTTTGTTTGTCATTTTTATAACCGTGTCATCATTTTTCATAAGGGGCCCCACACCATGGATCGATTTAGCTCTGATACCATGTTAAAACCTGGTATTCCATCCTCAAAGGTCAACCTGATAGGAGGAGTAGCCCAAAGCCTTATATAGTGTTTTATTGTTTTATTGCTTTCCGACGTGGGGCAAATGATTTAAAAATATCTATAACTTATGCTTTCTCGAATACTCAATTGAGCAGTATCTCCAATTTATCGAGGGTAGTTATTTATAACAATCGTTCATTAATAACCCTTACTATATTAGCTAAGTACAGAACACCTCCACGTATACCGAATTGATAGTAGCATTTAATCTCTTAACTTCTTGATGAAATCAATTGAGATTGATAACATCAACACAACGGTTTTGATTTAACCAACACAATTAATCCCTCTTAAGATTATTAACCACGACCATGCATTAATAACCCGAAGTTACTTACTTATGAAACCATCAATAATTAAACATCGGTTCATTGATCATTTCTAGTAGTAATTAATGTCGAGATGTTAACTAATTGTCATCT